TGGGGTCGATGGAAGCCCCGGCTAGGCGTTGGGAGCGGAGACACCGTTCCCGACATGGAGCTGGCCGCCAGCAGAGAAAATGGAAAATAAACCACCTAAAACGCTGTGTAAAAGTACGGAACTCCTGGGCATGGCCGGCTAGCCTTCTATAATGGAATGAAAACAGGGCACGAACCTTTGAGAGTTATCCGAAAGAAGGAAAAATAAGCATACCTATAATAGGTGACAAATACAGCGTGATCAAAAAAATTGGAGCGACTACATAGAGCTGCGTATCAACAGCGAGATACCACGAGATCCCATAACATTCCTGTGAAATTTTTTTCATTCTGTTTATTGCTGCGATAATCAAACATTTTTAACGAAGTCTATTCTTCGGTTGACTTCAACACTTAGAACGTGTGAAAATCCCCGAGATGGAAAATAATTGGACTGCACTTCCACTTCTTCACCACCGATATGAGTGATATGCACAAGATGCATGTTTTCTCGTATTCGATCAGGGTAAACCAAGTTCCAGAAGTTTTAGTAACCACAGCGATAACCTCTCAGCAGTGCGATATTACCCTCCCTCTCAACGAGGTCTCTTTTGATTCACCTGGATACAAGTGGTCCCCATTAGAGCATCGATATCAATTATTCTAAAAGAGACGTGGTCTCCGGCAGCATATTCCTAGAATTGATCAGAGACCACTCACAGTGTCGTGACCAAAGAGATTGTTGATGTAGAGCATATTTTTCCACCAATACTTCTGGCAAATCTGCACGTTGGTGTCAATGTCCATGCCGAATCCTTTAGGTGTAGAGGCCATCCATGGTCCATTCGTAAATGGAAGCAACACAGTAAATAGACCAATGAACATCATCATTGGAGGTGTGAGCCTGGAAATGTTGCGGTAGTTTACCGTTGTTTTTCTTCATTTCCTAGCGATATAATAGTACTGGCTCAAAAATGAAGTAAAAGTTGTCGGGGCGAATAGATAAAATGGACTTTCATCACCACATTTCTTGTCTAAATATCGATTTTTGGAAAGGTGGTCATAAAATCCCAAATAAAAGACTGACCTCAGGTAGCGATGAACGTAGAACATTATCCAGGTAAAAGGGCTCGTCACGAAGCGCCGGGATGGTCTGGATTTGAAGAATAGGTAACCTACGAGAATTCCTGACAGAAGAAAGAAGGTATCTACAGAAAAGAACGCATTCGTGAAGGCTGTCGAAAGCAGCGGATCCCACAGTGAAAGCACAGGTATTAGACTGTCTGAATAAAAGTTCTTTGAAGTTTACTGAGTGAATTGAAAAACGGTGATCATACGTACCGCTTGCAGCATTTTGTGAGAGCACATGACCTGAAGCCACCCATGCCATAGAGATAAAGCGAATGGATGCCAACGAACGAATTGTTCCCTCTTTCGGCGGTTGTGTATTCAGGATTAAAGAAGCGTTCGAGTAGAACGAAAATGACAGCAGAATCCGGATCGCTTAAAGGACGAATTCACGATGAAGAAGCAAACCATTTCAAAGGACAAAAGTGCGTCCGCTAAGTGCGACACCTTAAATTCATAACGGGAGGTATTTTTCGCTAAGTGATCTGACTCTAAAGGTAGATGCCTGTTAAAAGGCAAGCAGTCCACGCAGGCAGGGTTTCAACTACTTGGTCATTAGGCGGTCAAAGCATGCCCCAGCCCAACTAAAGTTTATAGGAAATGTCTTTAATTTCAAAACCTACCTCTAAAATGCGCTGGAAGGGTCGAAGTCCTCTTGGAGGGGGCGGATCACCCATAAAGAGGCGGATCGTCCAACATACGCTGTGCAGAGTCCGCGCTTGACTAGCTATCGTTGCGGGACCGCCGCGCTGTATGAGGTCGATTCCATAAGAACGCAATTGAAGCGCTTCAATTTCGATTGCTGGCAAGTAGTTATGTATTTGCAAGCATGCAGCTATTTGCCAGCAGTTGCAATTAAAGCGCATGTACTACGGGCAGGTTCGGACAACTCGTCCAACACACGTCTCCCTAAACGGCAGGGCATGTCCCTGTCTAAGCCCCAGTTGGGCGTTTTCTTCACTTTTTCTCTTTACGTTCGATAACTTTTCACTACAACCCTACACCTTCATAACGGGCCCTGGCAAACCCCCAAATAGTCCCCTCGCCTCCCCGCCACCCTGTTGCTAATCCCAACTGTCCTCTCAAGAAAAACGGCCATAAGCCCACAACAACAGAACACCCGATACTAACAGAAACATCCAATGGCTTGAACTGCTATCTACGTATAAAGCCTCAGAATAGCCAAGTCCTAATCATCAACTCGTCCCTATTGACCTATTTTCCGGACTCAGACGCATTGATCCATCCCTGATCCGAAATTGATTAATATCGTCGCCGCCAACCCCCTAACGCTAATTCTCTCCCCTCCTACACCTCTTAGCGAGTGACCACAAACACTCCATACCACACCCACACACACACCACCCACACTCCCTCCCAAAAGCGTACGTTTTGATGGCCTGCTCATACTTTCCGTCTATTTCGACATTTCGTCCTTCTGCCCGTCCACCGTCCTTCGCCGCTGGACCCTACCGTTTCAGCACCTACCGTTTCAGCTCTTAGGCAGATGGGGCATTCACGTTGATAACGCCAGCACCGATGTAACCTGACTGAAGTAAAAATCAGCGAAAAAAGCAAGGGCCCGCTTTGCAGATATGGGGCCGGGTGCAGCAAGCCCCTCGTACGAGGGGAGGGGTACCCCTCCCCCGTACGAGGGGATATATCCCCCGTACGAGGGGATGCGTCCTTTCCGTACGAGGGGCTTGCTGCACCCGGCCCATGAACAGGCTTTTCAATTTTCTTCTTCACCAATGCACACATACACACACTACACACAGCTCCACATTTCAGTTTCACCGGCGGTCAACTTTCGTGTCATCCACCTCTGAGAGATTCTGCAGTTTGCTGAGATTGTGTGCGTATCACTCACAAAAATCTCCCATGCAGTGGGCTATCAACGGTGCCTCACCAGCAAAGTCGTTCAGGACGTGAAGCGCTTTCTCAAAAGAGTAACTTTTTCTATGAAACTCAAAACAACCTCGCTGTGTCATGGAGGTGAGGTTTATTTCTTCTAAGCGGCTCTGGAAGTGTCAAAAAAAGTGAAAACAATGGCTTGTGGTTTCGATCATCCCTGAAGGTAATTTTTTCATTCCCTTTTGTGCTCGGCAGGAAGTTGCAAATATTAACTTTTGAAGGTAGTTGCGACCACTGAAACCACAAAAACACGCGTTTTCGTCTCAAAAAGGGTCCTTCAAAGAAGTCCTAACTTACTATTGCTGGCATTTGCGATCTTTCAACCAAGTTCCAGTATTTTTAAAGAAACCTGAATCTAAAGGTTCTTCATGCTAGCTTCTGATTCAAAACATAACGGGTTTGGAGTAAGTTGTGATCGTTCTCAAGAAAATTTAAGTGATTATGTAAACAATCGTTGAGCTTTCCTTATTACCTCGTTGCAAGTCCTCAGATTTTGAGGAACTGTTACCGAGGGAGGCTGTTACCTTTGGAAAGATCCAAATAAAAAATTTACTAGAGCTAATTTTTTTATCAAGATCACGTTATTGGGCGCTAAAAAGCAGAAACCTAGTATATGTATATGGTGTATATTAGTACCAGTTTAGCTCCACACGCGACTGCGCGCATCACATGTGGGATTCAGTGAGACTGGACAACTCGCAAAATATTAGGCCACGTGGCCGAGAAACCAATAGTAAGATGTTTCGAAAGATGCGTCAGATGAGATCCAAAGATTGTCCAATTTCGCTGAAGATTATCGCGTAGTGCGCGCAGTAGCATGCGGAATGGCTGGTACTTATCATGACTTCGTAAACATTTAGCATTGATATCGAGCTCGGATGATTTAGCGGTCTATAGAATTTTCACAATTAGGGTATCGGTGTGGGAGTGAAATATGATCAATCAATCAGCATCTAGCCTAGCTCTGATGGAAATTCGCTATTGGTCAGTCCAGAGAGTTGAGTGGCTCAAGTTCCTTTGCTTTTTGGGTGAAAGGTTAGGAATTGAACATATTCACGTGCTAAGAACCTGGTTCAATTTGAATGAGCGCACACTCAGTTGTCGCCACTTTTATCAGTATAGTTGACGCTCATTACCACTCCTGTCACCCACCATCAACACCTCGCCACCTTGATCGTTTGCCAGTGATGACTGCAACGAAGTTGGGACATTTGCATTCAGACGCTCCTTATCGTTCCTTATCATTTATTATCAGTTCATACCGTTCACCGCCACGAAGGCTACAAGCGAAATTAGTGGTACTCAAATTCCTAACTTCCTTATCAACCGTTATCAGTTGTTATCACTTTGATCATCCACTATCCGTGTTCCCGTCCCATCCCCTATACCACATGTGAGAGCCAAGGTTCCAATGTCACCTGCAAAGGCCGCAACGAAACTGGTGGTATCCACACTTTGACGCCCCTTATCAGTTAATCAGTTGCTACCACCTTCTTCCAATCACCCTTCTTGGTCCCTGCCTCACCCCACATAATATTCATGAGTGCGAACATCCTAGGGTCAATGCAAAGGGCGTTGCGAAACTGACGTTAGCATTCCGATGCCCCTTATCAGCCCTTATCATTTGCTTCGCTCACCATTTGGGTCCCAGTCCTACCCTACACAATATTCATGAGTGCTAGCAATCCACTGCCAACGCGAACGGCGTAACGAAGTTGGCATTCTGACGCCCGTTATCAGCTTCTATCAGTAGTTATCACTTCCCGCCACCCATCATCAGTGTTCACGTCCACCCCCTATATACCCTAGAAGTTTGAGCGCTCTGGGACCAAAGGGAACGAAGTTATGAATTTCCGGTCAGACAGACACACACACACAACCGCTTAGCCGATTATATATAGTAGGATATTTCTAACCCAAATTTCAGCTACAGTATCGCCAATCTTTCTTTTGGTATTGGTTCAGTCCCTTCAAGCCTTCTTGACCTTTTGCGACAACTGCGGTTATGTTCGTACCTGTGGTTTTCCTGATATTATCAGAATCGGGCAGCGAATCCAAAATATAGTCAACACCACTTGCAATAATTGCCCATACCACAAAGAACACCATCAAAGTCCTGCAACGAAATTTGGTTGCTTTCATTGACCTGCTTTTAATATAATAGTTACAGAAGCTCTTAGGCATGAGACTTACATAAAAATCCAAAACCCTGTAGACGGCTTTATGCTGGTTGGAACACATTTGGCAGAAGGGAATTCTACTGGCACGCTTGGGCCACTTATGAGAGTTTCTAGAAGAAGAGGAATGTCCTAAAAGTGCCATTTGCAGCTGGTTGAAAATCAAAGCAAAGTATTATGTTAGGTTGAAAAGAAAGTTCTGAAACACCCACAGCCAAAATTTTAAATTTATTTTTTTATCCTTTGTTTTTTCTAAGACCCGGAACATATTGACCATCAGACTTAGCAACACTACGCCAACCTTCGGGCAATTGGCTGACACCACATTTGTAGAAATTAGGAGAATTTTTGTCAAACAATCTTTTGAAGTCGGATTTGCAGTCTTCTCGTCGTCGAGCTTTCTGTTCTCCAGGTAATGAGCGAGCGAGCAGGAAAGGTGGAAGACGTGTATGGATAGGTTTGACGAATATGGCAGACGGGCAAGCCGCGGTCCAGCCTAGCTTCAGAGTCTTGTGGCTTGAGACCGAAAACCCGCGACGTTG